TTGAACCTTCGTAATCTAAAGCCGTTCCCACTAGTGTTATAGTAATAGCATTGGTTTTTGTCCCCCTCACACATATTCGTAATTAGGTTTATGTATACCTATTTTTAATCCCTTTCTTTTCCAAGGTCCAACTATATTATCTATCTAGGAACTCTATCATAAATCTTTTATAGATCAATGAATATCATATAAAGATCTTTCTTCTTCTCTCTAAACTTTTCTATCAATTGTCTTAAAGGAAATATAGTTTCCATGGTTGATCTCCGCAACATAAGATCAAATTGGTTCTTTAATACACTTGTTTTAAGTCATAATCTTTGTTCAATTATTTTCCCTCAAAGTTTTATAATGTGGCACTTGAGTTTAATCCCTCGATAGTTATTATAATTTTGTGTATCATCTTTATTCTTAAATATAGATACTATATTGTTATTTCTCTAATCATTTGGCATCCTCTTTTCTTTTACTATTTTATTAAATATTTTAGTTAATCATAATACACCTATTTCTCCCATATCCTTCTACATTTCTATTAGAATCCCTTCAGGTCCTAATGTTTGTTCCTTCATCTTTTACTTTAGTAGATCAAACTCTAGGAATGTATGTATTATTCGTAACACTATTAGTATTACTATCTTGTTTGCCATTATCACCCTTTCCCTATTGCATGGTCATTTAATAATTTTTTTTTAAGAATAGTTATTTTCATCTTTATTTTATTTCATCATTTTTTACCAAGACTCTTTATGTTCATCTTTAATGCATCTAACATGGTTTAAATATTTGAGTTTTATTTTTCTTTAACTTTGCTAATTTATACATTCCTTTTTTTCCATAAGAGTTCAAGTCCTCTTGATGTAGAATTCGTAATATTGGGCCAACTAGGGTACACCCTTTAAAGAAGTTTAAAGCTTTTGTCTTTGTTTTTATGTAGTTATTTATTTTGGAAGAGGTTAAACATGTAACATGTCTGCAAATGCAGGGGATCAAATAGAGAGAGAGTTCGTCAACGGAATAAACATAATAATTACATAAAGAAGGCCAGGTGACTAAAATAAAGGCTAAAGAGGCAATATTCAAAGCACCCAAAAACTAAGACAAGCGATATTTATTTGATCCAACCTTGGAAGACGAGCTTGTGAATAACAAATATAAACGGCTCGACAGGTTCTTAATTAGTTTATGTCTAGAAAGCCAAGTATTGCTGCCAAAGCAGGAGACCAAGATAGAGACAAACACCTTTACAAGTTAGATCTAGCATTACCCACTCTGTTTCCCAAAGAGCTTCGATGTGTTTGACTGGTCCTCCTCTCAAATCAGAATCTCTGCTGCAACTAATGGAAATATGTGAGAATCAGCCACCTGTTGCAGTTGCATTTAGCCACCCACCTGAGTTCCACCAAAAAGGGTAACAAGGGTGTACCATGTGAGTGACAACCGTGCTTTGGCCAGGTAGCAGTCGAAAGGCCAATCCATCAGAACTCCTTTAATTCTCATCTCCCATGCATATTAGTCAATCCTACCATTCAGTCCAACCAAGGTATCTTTGCGTTTTCTTTTTCCTTTCTTAATCATCTTTTCTTTCGAATTATTGGAATCAGAAGACTGAGATACTCTCTGCACCTTGCTTTGTCAATATGGGTCGTCTTTGACAAGTAACAATCCACATGGTACAGTTGTTATTGTAAGCATATTAAAAGTACAAATATGTTGCCTTCTCTGCAAGTTTCTGTAAGATCATGCATGAAAGAATGCAGGCAGAGTGAAAACATTTCATGATTTTTCCAACATTTCAATATATACCGATTTGTATTTGTTCCATCATTCTCTTATTTTTTTGGAGGCTATCTTTGGAAATGATGCAAATAAGTGTGAATGTAAATATGTAGAGTGTAAAAGGGTTCATATAAATTACGAAATTGAGTTAGTTTTGCACTGACAAATTTATCTTCTTATCAAACAGATTTTTAGCTGTAATGGATGCAAACATGAATTTCAATAAAGCATATGCTTTTTTTTTTCTTATCAAAAACCCACTTGAATGCAAATTTACTTCTTTTTTATTGATGTACTTTTGCATCTTATTATCAATGTAAATGTGTATTAATCTATCATTTGTCAATATCTAAATGTAATGTTGCCAAATACAAATAAAAATGAATAGGAGTGCAAATTTACCCTGAACTGAATTTACATTCCATTTGCATCATTTCCAAATGCAGCCTAAAAAAACAAAGACATTTGTTAATAGGGTTGCAATCAAATTGGCCCAAATTAATTAGCATTCTATATTGCTTTGGATTTGGACTTTCAGGGTGGGCTCATTCAAATTTTGATAACCTGTCCAAGTTGCACCCTTGTTAGTCTTCATCTTTTCCTTGGAATTCTTTACTGTCAACAAGTCAATAACATTAACACATTTTAAAATTTGAACCGACTTTTACCAACAGATCACCCGGCTTTCTATTTGATTAAGCGAGGGCAAGATGCGTTCTTCAAATTTTTGGGCCACATTTTTAGAATCTCACAGTTGCTATTTACAAGGAGGATAGATACAGTGGCATTCTCGTAATTTTTCCTATGAGTGTGTTGGTCGCGAGGGTGGAATTAAATTATTTCTTCAAGTTCTGTAAAAAGAATTATTCAAAGAAACCCTAATCACGTGGTCCCATTGATCGGTCGACATCGCCAGCTCATTCACTGCTAAGAATTTATAAGTCAATGCTCGGTCAACCAATTCAGGTCTCTCTCCCTCTGAGCTCCTTTTTCAAAAAATCGAAAGTGAAGAAAACATTTTAGGCTTCTTTCACAAAACCAAACATAATCTTTTTTTTTTTTATATTCTCATGTTGCTTTTTAACATATATATATGCCTTAAATTGAAAAAAAAAATTTCCCAAAAAAATGAAAAATGGCATGGTCATCCATGTAACCATTATTCCATCTTTATCCATTCCCCATCCATTCCCCATGCACAAATGGTAACTACCCATTTGTGATTTGGTTCGAGATTCAGTACAGGCATGCATACATGATCATTGATATATAATATAATGGCATTGTACTTCATGCATGATATAACGGGTGAATGATGATCAATGTGGATCCAAATGTTCCAATGCCCGAATTCACACCAACTATCATAGGGATAAGGGTGGTACGGGAAGGTCATGTTGCCCTTAAAAAAGTTTATAAATATGAATGGTGCATAATGCTTATCAATTCAATAAAAACAACAACTTAGCATAAATAAATTAAACTAAAAATGATCAAAATATTATTAATTATTATAAAATGTATTAAAAATTACTTTAATTTAATATTTTATAACCAGTGTTTTACAAATCACTATGGAACTGGAACCACTTTGGCCATTAATTTTCCGTTTTTGGGTCAATGGTTCGAAACCATCCAGTACTCTGAATGCATGGCTTGTTGTAATTAAAAAAAATTAAAATAAATAAACCATCAAAAACCTTTGTTTGGTTTAAATTGGTCAACAATTCAATTGCCCAGGTCAGTGGATCACTGATTAAGTCAATGATTTTTGGTTAAATTCCTGTTCAGAGGTGAAATGGAATTGGTTGTCTTGACGGATTCGGGGCCAAACAGTCCAATTGTCCAGATCAATAATGGTTCAAAAATCATGTTATGAACAAAATGAATTGATATTACTTTAAATATTGAATCTATGAGAGTTTACAGTGAAAGATCAACATTCACACCAACTTTTTTGATAGATATAATAATAAATTTTAAATATATAGGAGCATATATATTTAAATCGAATCAAATAGGATTATAACAAATCGGACCAGGGTGGATTCATATTTTATCTAATTATATAAACAGATCAAATTGAGATCACCCTTAGGTTGCGTTTGGAATCAGTATAAAAATACACTGATGACATTTTACATTGAACCAAAAAGTGACAATTGCTTTTTTTAAAATAGTGATGGGTGAAAGAATGTAAAGTTTTACATTGATAAAATCGATATAGTTTTTATATTGATTATCGATATAAAATTTTAGAGCTGATGAGGCTTTACATTGATTATCAACGTAAAACTATATCCATTCAAATGCACGCAAAACTAAACCAAAATATAATTTTATATCAATAATAATTATACCCTTTTTTCAAACGCATACAAAACCAAATCGATATAAATTTTACATCGACTTTTATTTATATCGCATCCAAATGCAACCTTAATAGGATTGAATTTAGACAATCAGATACCCTTTCCACCCTAGACAGGGATATATGATGGGGTAGGTTAGCATTGAAATATTTTACCCGTTTTGTTGACAATCAAAGGGTGAAGGACTAGCTGGTACGGGAAAGGTCATGTTGCCCTTAAAAAAAAGTGTATAAATATGAAGTGGTGCACAATGCTTATCAATTCAATAAAAAACAACGTACTTTGTACCTTGATGATTCATGAATAAAAAACATCCTTTTATGGGCAATCATATGGATAATATATAATTTCTTACAAATTAAAAAAATATATATATATATATAAAAGTAAATAAACATTACTACATGAATGTCGGTGCTCCTACCCATGTATCATTGAGCTCGGGTCATGTTTGAAAGCGTTTCATTCTGAACCGATTCGGATTAAGGTTCAAAATATCGATTAGAGTTTTGGTCATATTATATCGGTACTTAGAAACGGCCAAAATTTTATTTTTTTTAATTTTTTTTATATTTTAATTTTTTGAAAAGCTTTTAACATACCTTTTATTATTAAAAAAAATTAAGAATCCGAAACGCTGGACCGTATCTTTTTTATCGATACTTTGAACCATGATTCGTATTCAAAAAAATCAGATCAGGTTGAACTTACCTTGTTAGTAGAGAGAGAGAGTATAGATGTATTAAAAAGCCATGAACATGACATGACATGACATGACATAGTAATTAGCATGCATAATAGACACCAGATCCTCTCGTTTCCATATAAATACAAACACCAGCTGTGCTCCTCATTCACATATATAAATTAAACAATGCAATTGAGGGGGGTAGGTTACAACAGTGCAAGGGAGCCAGGGAGTAGAAGTTAAAAAGAGGGTGAGTTTGTGTTGTGGGGGCTTTTCCCATGGCATGCCTAGACATGTTCAACAGCGAGCACCAAGGCTTCTGCGCTCCCGTGAGCCCACGAATCTCCTTCTCCAACGATTTCGTCGATGCCCAACAAATGATCAAGTACGAACGTAGCTCCAGAGAAGCACCCCCCTCTTCGTCTTCCGACTTCGAATTCTCTGTGTCCAACTACTCCATGATGACTGCCGACGAGCTCTTCTTCAAGGGCAGGTTGCTGCCGTTCAAGGATAATTGCACCAACCAGCAGTTGCAGAAGATGACATTGAGAGAGGAGCTTCTTATCGATGATGACGATGCACCGCCAAGGCCGCCCAAGGCTTCCAACAAGTGGAAGGGGCTTCTGGGTCTGAAAAGGACCCACATTTTGTCCAAGAAAACTGATAAGAATGATGGGTCCATGGAGAGAGTAGTAGAAGGAAAGGGGTCATCAACTGTCGCTCATGAGCAAGGCCATGTTACCAAGACCTCGCTGGTGAGGACCGCGCGAGATATATAGTACAGAAATATAAGATAAAAACAGAAAATTATTCTTATTAGATTATTAATTAGAGGTGGAGTAGTACTGATTTGGTTCCTTGGTGCAGGTGATCTCTACAGACGGAGGACCAAGTTGCAGAGAATAGAAATTGATCCATTTGATGATGGTGGAGGAGTTGTAGAGATATGGGCATTTTTTTTTTGGTGGGGAGGAGAAAAGTTTAGTTTGGATCTTAATTTTGTGTTGTGAGTTGCTTTTAAACTTTTTCGTTTTCGTCATTTATCCTTTCTTTTTCATGTTTTTTTCTTCCCTTGTAAAAGTTGCTATTTTGGTCGTTCTATGTACAAAATATTTTCCACTTGAAGAAGAACTTGTGATGTTAATTGGTAGATCTAATCTAACCCTGGCTTAATACGGGAGATAAAATGTTGCTCTTGCTATTTACTTCTGTGTTTTTTTCCTTTACTTGTGTGTGAGGGAGAGAGAGAGAGCTGTTGCCTCGAGACAAGTAAGTACTCCAAAGTTTAAAGACAAGATAAAAAAAAAAAAAAAACTACTTCAGTAGAACGTAGAATCCTTAGAAAGATCGAATGGGCCTCCATCCCTCCATTATTTCCGTAAAACAGGGGGCTCTATTAGTGTTAATGAGTGATGGATGGTCAAAGAATTAAAAATTAAAAAGGCATTCATCTTCATCTTCAAGGGAAAATTAAGTATATATGTTACATGATCATGCATTACGGACATGAATTCCACCTTGCGATTTGCGATGTAGTAGGGACCCCACCCCATTCCCTATATGTTGCCAATAATTGAGCAGGAGCAGTGGAGCCAGCTGCTTCCGTATGTTTGGAAATAATTGAGACGGGAGGTGTGAACCAGCTGCCATCATTTAAATTTTGTGTTTCTTTCATTGCACAGCTTCAATTGAGCTTGAGGAGAAAGGTCATCAGATTTAATTGTGGGTCCCCTGAAAATCAGAGGCAATTATAACTTGTGATGTCACGTGTGCACTGTGCAATGACAGTCAAACGAAAGAAAACAAGTCCATCATATCTGTCCATGGTATTTTAGATGATTTTGCTCATTTGGTCTCACTGAACCCGGGAAGCTGTCTACTCTTTCGGATTTTGATGGATATAGAATATAGAAGCCCTAATACCAGACAAGCAATCCTTGTTGTATTGCTATTAGTTGCTGCATATAGAAGAGCCCATATCAAATGAGCCTGCTCACATGTTGTTGGGTAATCTAATGGGCTTTTGGTTGTAGCCCATAGGGTGTTTATCTTAGCCTGTTTCAATTTAGCAGACAGCAAAGGTGGAACCCAGTTTCCTACTCAATGTTAAAAGTCACCGCCTATTTGGCATATAAATCCAAATCAATGTTCGTAGTGGGCCACAAAATTCAGATGCACCGATTTGTGTTTCAGACCCATGTAATGCACCCGTGCCTTTTAAATAGGAATGGCAACGGCGCGGGGCAGGATGGGGCGGGGACGGGGAGACAGTTCCCATCCTTGTCCCTGCGAAAATCCCCAGCCCCGTCCTTGCTAACAGCGATGAGGTTATCCTCATCTCCGTCCCTGCGAGGATCACTATTCCCACCGGGATCTCCATTCCCCATAAGTTTTTATAATATTAACCATTTTGATTTTGTTCTTTATTTTGTTTAAAAAAATAAAAATAAAATAATTAAAATTTATAATACTGTTAGAAAATATTCAAACATATCTTTAAAAATACTAATATATAAATGTATGTGTACATATATACATATATAACGTTGCATGCATATATACATATATGGGTAAATCATCCCCATCCTTGTCTCATTCGGGGTGGATCTCCACGGGGATCGGGGAAATGGAGAAAATTGTCATCCCTACTTTTAAAGCAACTAGATGGTGGGGAATAATAGTATGTAGGATCTTCTGCCCACAAAAACTCTGCCCAAATCTACCTACAACATACTACCCCCGTGCATTGGGAACATCTCCCTGTGTATAATAGTATGTAGGAGGATGAAATATTCTCCATGTGTGGCTGTGATGATATATGGGTAGACGTGGGCAAAGTTATTGTGAGCAGGAGATCTGGACTCACCGCCTATGCCTATTTGCACCCTTTAAGTAGGGATGGAAATTTCGCCATATTTTCAGGTATCCGACCCGTCCTAACCCTAATAGGACCCGTTTATCAAAACCCTATAGGGTTTGGGATGGGTTTGGGATTTTAGATTAAAACCCTATAGGGTTTGGGTTTTGACTTTAGGGTATCCGATACCTGATACCTGGGATGCATAAATATGAACCTATTATATTATATATCATGCACAAATTTATAAATTTTAAGTACTAAGATAATTATTCTTTTATTAATATTTTATTTGTATAAATTTCTTGTGATTAAAATCATCATTTGAAGTAAATTTGGATTTGATAGATTGTTTATTTCATTTAGTTATAAAATGCTAATTTTAAATATTATTTCTTTTAATTTTTAGTTGGAATTATTAATCATATATATGTATTGATTGTTTTGATGAACACAAAAGTTAATAGATTGTTCTCTACCAAGAGCACCCTTCTTCTCTTAAATTCTCTTTTTTTCCCTATCCATTAATTTAAAAAAAAAAAAAAACTTCTTTTCTCTCTAAACCCAACATTTTTTATATGTAAAACTCACCTTAACCTAAATGAAAAACCACACCACAGTTAAATTATAACATGATCCAACGACTAAAACATAAGACACAATCACAACAAATGTTTGTCTTCTACCACAGCCATTAATGTTTTATGTGAAACCAATGAATCAGACAATAGCAATTTTTAAGAAAATGTTCAGGCAATACTATTTTTAAGTGCAATTTCACATATAGGTACATTAAAGAGATTCTAACATTTAAATATATAGAATCCCCTAACTCCTAATAAATAGCATTTTGTGGGTTTAGAAACCGGTATATATCACACAACATACACCATAAGTTGCAATATTTTGATCCATAAGGCTGTGTTTGGCTTGAAGGAACGGCTAGGGAGGGAATGAAAAGGTAGGAAATCTTTTCCTTCCTTTCCCTACCTTTTTCTTTAAACCAAAGTACTAAACACAACCTTAAGGAGACTCACATTTTAACACAATATTTTGGTTGACTTTTCGTGACTTTTTGCAGACCAAAAGTGTCGCATATTTCGTAACATCTTCTATTAGCAATGAAGTACAATCTCCACTTTAAACTTCTACAAAAGAAGTTAGGTTGTTCTTGGATAAAAATGATCGAGATATGCTATGTGAGAAAGCCCAAAAGTATAAAACCCCGATTTAAGGCTTATATGCATTTTGACTTTAAATTACAATTTTAAACATTTTCTTACCATATGCTCAATACATTTTTAACCAGCATAACAATCTTAGTTTAAGAATAACTAGTTCAAATTCCTATCCCCATGAATTTTAATAAATACCACCCGATTGATTATCACTTTTTATGATACCAGTTGATTAGTTACAAATTTTTCTGTATTATAGTCAATCTCTTTTTTTACACATGTAGAGTAATGGTTAGTAGGTATTGGTGTACAACTTTTGTACATATTATATATGACTAAACCATTTAAGGGCCTCTTCGAGACGTGAACTGAAAGTTCAGGTTTTGAAGTGCTTGTGATAAGGTATTTAAAGAGGCTGAAGCGGATAGCCTAAAAATGAATGACAGATGGTTTAGGCTCTCCAGGTTGTTTACTAAACACAATTTATAGGCTATTCATATGGGTCCTACCTCAGAAAGCTAGAAGCTACTGTACTTCAGCCCTTCCAAATATGTACTACGTCTGTTTTATCTCATTTTATCACATATTGGAGTTTCATCTAAATGACTACCCATTGTGTTTCTAGAGGTGTAAAACGGGCCGTATTGGGCCGGTATAGCACAATCTGCCTACGGCCTACACAAACTACGGACCGTACCACCCTCTCTAGGGATAATTTGGGGGCTCGGGCTGGCATGGTTCATGGCCCAAGCTTGTGCAAACCAGGCTTAATTCCAAGCGTCTTTTTTATATAAAAAAAAACTAATACCTATATAATATTTTATATTGTGCTAAGTAATATGCATATAAAATTTATTTTAATCATCATATGATATAAAATATTATACATAATATGTATTATAGACCTCATCTTATAATATTTACATATAAAATATACAATTTAACATAGGATAAGATATATGCATATGCATAAAAGTATTAGGCTCAATCCAGGCATGGCCCTAAAATTTTCAGCCTAAAATAAACCCATACTGAGGCCAGGCCTGAATACAAAATCTAGGCCCAAGTTTAGAATTTCCAGGCCAGACCGGGCTGAAAATAATCACCCCTAATCAGAACTTTATTAAGGCAGCCAAGCCTTTCTCACTTGTGACTTGCATGGAGTATAAAATCTATATTTGAGGCTGCAAACTGGCTAGAATATGGGTTGGGTCAAGCCCATATGACTTCGATCGAGGATCTGTTTCGAGCATTGGCATATGAACCGGGTTTTTTCAATCGTGCTAAGTTATGCAACAGATCATGCAACAAGGGTAGCCCTCCCAAGGCCCAAAACCCTAGACCCACCAACCCGGGTGAAGACAGAACTTGATTCCAAGTCGCATGAGATTGAATATGGACCCGGTCAAAAGATAGCTGGTCACCCCCTCCCTTCACGCTACTTGTTGTCGTTACATGAAATTTCTTAAAGGAAAATGGCTTATCAGATTATATATATATATATATATATATGTTATGGTAAAACATTGTAAAGTTGAAAACTAAACTGAAATAATAATAGGGTATAAAATAAAATCAAAATGCTAGCGAATTAACTTGGCGCATCTCTGTGAGTGTGCAAGTCAGCCGAGATATTTGATACCATAGCTAGAGAAGTATGGGGTTATTCTGGTTAATTACTTGGCATCTCAAAACCAGTTTTGCTCAGAAATTACAAACTTGGGATGGACATAATTTCCTGCATTAATGTAGTAAAGACGAACAGTCTTTCCAGGCTTTCATTCCATTTGTCAGAAAACTGCAATCTATTAATTATTATTCTGGAGTCTTGAGTGAAATTGATTATTATATGCAAGGTTCTACTATCAACCTAGCTAGGTGGGGGGTGTTGAATGTTCCATTCCATGCATGGCATTGACATTTTACATTAATTGTGAATTTCAGCATTTTCTTTTTTGATGCAGTTAATTACAAAATGATATTGATTTCATTCTACTGATTGCTGTAATGATATAATAGCTTTTTCAATTTTTCGAGTAAAACACAGACACCAATCGACACTTTGCATTTTGTGAGAAAAGTTGAGAGGAGATTCGCATTTGACAAATTATGCCGTCTTTAAGCATTTCCAAAACTCTAAGCTAC